CATATTTCTTGGATTCTTTAACACCATAGTCCCTAATATATTTGTAGAAAGGCAGGAAATGGAATTAAATCGAGAAAAATGTTTCATTGCGGAGGACCCCCTGTTTTGTGTCCCCCCCCACTTCTCAAACCAAAGTTACACCCTTGGTTTTCTCCTGTCTCTATCCATCCAGTCTGATCTATCCTAAGCGCTTTCCCACCCTTCTTCCTCCATCACTGTTGTGTTTGTGAGTGTTTTTGTTGGAAGGCACTTGGAGCAGCTTAGGCAGGGCAGATGGAGGAGCTTATTTACCCCTGCAGCACTGTCCTGAATTTAAATGCATGATCCGAGAGATGTGGGGCCCTTTTTGCTCTCTTTTTGTGTTGTATGTTTCACATTAGGATCATGGAGGGGAAGTGAAAAGTCGCTTAAGTGGTTTAATAATGGCAGTAGGTGGTCTCTTGTTGCATATGGTGGCATTAGCCTCCACAGACTGAAATATTTGCAGTATATTCAATGCAGCTTGGTCATTAGCGCCACCGGGACATGTTTCTTAGTCAAAATAGCCAACATGTCGTTCTGAAAGACACAAAGCTCAGTCAGGGACTACACATTAAAATACTTTTATATATCACAGTTACTGCGTGATGTACATATCTATTTGCCGCCAATCTGTTGTATACTCACTGCAGTTGAAACTGTATCTCACCCTCTCTTTCCCCCCCTCGTTGTCTCCCCCTTACTCTTTCTCAAGACAATTTGATTGCAGTGGTGTGTAGTTTGGCACCTTGCCCACCCTGCAGCACTGTCATTACTTGGTCTTGGTCAAAAGCAAGAAGCGGTGTGTTTGCATTTGTGCATGCATAGCAACCATACAAGTAAGTGATTTCAAAAAAGCGACAGACAACTACAGAGGGAAGATGTCTGCAGAGACTCTCACGGGGAGGGAGACGTCTGTTCTGCCAGTCTGTGTCAAAGCATGCAGCATTCTCTGTGATGTGTTCGGGCTTGAGAGAGAGTCGAAACGACTGATGCTGAAGCTTTTTTTTATTTTTTATGTCTAAGGCAAGATCAAGACTATTCATTGTGTAAAGCTATGGTAACACAATGTTGTATATAATGTAATAAACACAGAGAAATTGAATAGATGAACCTTATCGGCATTGATTCCCTATTCAGCTCATTGAGTGTGGGCACAATATCCAATAATGCTACAACCCGACATATTAGGATTTTTCTTTATTGAAATCATATGCTAAAAGGCAATACAGATGAGTTAGTGCTTTCTTTGTTTGACTTGATAAACGGTGTTAAAATCCATACAAAAACAAAAACACTATTCAACAACAATACTTCACATTTATTTTAAGCTCTAACAACTGATTTTTCAACAAACCTCTTTAAACTATGCTTGAAATGTTAACTTAATGTGTTGATATTGGCAGGGGTGCAATCTAACATAGGCATTACTGTTTTAAGGCTAAAACAATACCTCTGTTGTATAATTTATGAGTAAATCATCTCCACAGCTCTGCACAATGGCTCCAGGAGGGCGTGATCGGGGCGTTTAGGGCTTTTGCATACTTAAAAACACAAATTAGATGCATGTGCAAACCATATGAAGACATAGAAATATGCACTTGGAATGACATCTGAGCCTTGAGTCTCATGATGCAGACACAAGGCAGTGTGTGCGTGTTTCTGTGGAGATGTGTGTGCCTGTTTGAGTGGAAAGACACAAACATACCTCAGCAAAACAAGTTAGTGTGAGTAATGCTGGCTGCCATGCACCTATTATCCCTGCCATATTCTTCTGGTTTCTTGGTCCAAGCACATACTAGGAGGATGTGCTCTGAATAGTGGCAGTGAATTAACACAGTGACACCTTTGACCCGAATGTGTTTCACCTATCGATGACATTTCAAAGCGGTCCTTTTGAACACAAGAGCACAAGAACACACATGTATCCTCTTTTCTGTTCTGTCATTTTATCATCATCATAAAATGTCTCTCAGGGTGCTCAACTGTTTAAATTCACTGACAAGGATTGATGTTTGGTGACAAATTAAATACATAATGAAGCCCATCAAGTATGCAGTTGCGCACACACACACACACACACACACACACACACACACACACACACACACACACACACACACACACACACACACACACACACACACACACACACACACACACACACACACACACACACACACACACACACACACACACACACACACACAAGCCATTATGAAACAAAAAAAAAACACCTCATCACACAGAGAGCACATAGGAGATATAGCTGGTTCCACTTGACTGCTTAAATCCACTTCATTCTTATTCGAGTTCCTGCAGAGGCTTACTTATGTAACTAAAGTGCTTGGTTACACATGGAGAGATGAATAATCAAATAGTCAGCAGTGACCGAGTCAGTGGGAGGAGCTCCGAGAGCAAGTCAAAACATCCTTCTTCTCCGATATAAGTACCACCTTGGTCAAAGGTGCAGTGCTGTGTCCATGTTTATGCAAGGGCACGTGTAACATGTTCCTGTATGTGGAATGTGCATTAAGTGTGTGTGAGCGATAGAAAAGTGTGTGTTGTTATGCGTTTACACAAAGATACAATCCATAGCATTCGCACTAGCTGCCACTGCCACCTCCAGGCACCAGAGGAGACTGCTGAAAGACTCCCACACTGCTGCATTGTCAGCTTGTCGATGTACCGGTGATGCCTTTCAGGTCAGTCTGTCTTCTGTTTGCCCTGACAGTAAAGCGATGCATATTAGTTCTGTTCACAGGATGCAGCCAGGTTTTCAAATACCCTTCACACACACACACACACACATGCCAACACAGACACACATCTGCTCCCTTCGCTGATGGGAGAGCTCTCCGAGGTGCTGAAGCAGTAGTAAGCCAGGTGCAAGTCGTAGTTGTCATCGGTGCATAATGCCACACATTTACACAACTTTCCCCCTGGCCACACACGAAACAAGACAAGCTGTGTGAGGGCTGTTGGTAAAGAGTTAAAGAATCCTGCCATGGTGTTTACATCCATCCTCAAATGGCTTTCATAATGACCTGCAGCTTGTCGCCCTACCTAGCCTCTAGTTTACCTCTGTCTTGGTGTGTTTATGTGCATGAGTATGTGCATAGGAAGAGCACACTATGTTCTTACATATACCCGGGCTCAGAGAGAGGAATTGCAGCTGAGCACGGCTACAGTTCAAACTCTAGATGTTGTGTTTGTAACTGTTTTTTATTGATAACTCTGTCCTTAGCATTGGCCTCCTCACACAGCCCCTTTATCCCCTAGGCAACACAGATTCTCAGAACAATTATTAGGGAGGAACAGGCTGCTTTGAGGTGCTCCTCTAATGAGAAAGATCATTATGACAGGAGAGTGACGACACAGACATCCATCCTCTCCTCATGCTAAATACAAGCTACATGTACACGCCCACTCATGCCCCACCATGCTTCTAAAGAGAACCAATCCCAATGCATTCCACCCTGATCTGTCACTGAGGCTATTCATTTAGCTACTGTCAGCCGAAGAAAAGATAAAGGAATGTTTCACTGCACATTCCTGAGAGACTATTTGTAAAACCTGAAATGTACTCCTGGAAGAATACACTAACACTATTGAATTAGAAGATGCCCCACAAGAGCCACAGTCAGCAAGCATTTTACCCATAATTCAGCTGGGAACCATTTAATATCCTGCTTCAAATTAAAAGGTTGCACTCTTCGGGTGGGTTTGTATCATATTTCACTGCAGAACCAGGGGTAGCCAGCTCAGCACCCACTACACATTCCACACCGAGAAGTACTTTTGTCATGGTTTTCCAAATATCAGAACACTAAACCCCTGTACTCTTTGCAGTGTATTATGAATCCGAGCAGAATATTATCTGGAACAGGTAAGTCATTATTAATAAACAAATCCTTCAAAGACGTGTTGTCATATCAATGTACCTACAGTATAAGTCTTTGGGATTATTAACTTATCGTTTATCTTGGGTTTTGCATTAAAAAAAACACATGACTGTAAAAGCAGTGGATGTTGACAGTCAAAATGATTTCTTGCTATAATGTCCGCTGTGGGACTAATAAAGGAATAAATGCAATCTGATTGTGAGCACATCAACTTCCAAAATGCACAGGGACTCTCTTACAAATAAATGTTGACTTTAAATGGAAGCCCCTTTTAGTGTCACGTTCTGGTGGAAAACCGAGAAGAGATGCAAATAATATGAAGTGGGGAGTCACAGGAAGGTATGTGGGTGGAATACTTGGACAAAGAGTGATTACTAATGCAGTTAGGGGAGGACTGATAGAGTCCAAAACTTGACTGGACTCACTGTCATTTGTATGCTCAGCACATGGCAGGGACTCTCTCAGTCCTGTTTACACGTGCAAACCGTTATTTATTCTGCTCTAATTCAAGCCCCCACACAGGACAGCCATGACTTCCTGCTCGGTGGTCCCGTAGCACTGCAGCAGCACCTGGGTCCTCTTCCCCATCACCCGGAGGATTCATAAACGCTGCATTAAAACGGGCGAAGAGAATGCCATCTCAAGCATGTCAGCATTATACCTTTGTCAGCATGTCACCTCTGTGATGTTGCAGCACACACACATACACATACACACACATTTAGATGCAGGGTGTAGGACTATGCAGAATATGTGCAGGCTTAACTTTTAGCCCTCGTCACTAAGATGTCATTGAATGTAAAACAACTATACCTATGCTAATTTTGAATGTTTAAGCTCACTGTGGGAGCGGATGATGATGATGATGATGATGATGATGATGATGATGATGATGATGATGATGATGATGATGATGATGATATGGCAATGATACTGCTGGTGACTAAGAAAATGCTGTGTGTGTACAATGATACAGCCAGACACAGGGTGGCCCTACATGAAACACCAGATATCGCTCAGTTTGATTAAGAAGACACATAATGGAAAAACGCCATCGTTCATCAGATTGACCCTTACCTGTATCGAAGTGGGAGCTGAAGGCAAAACTGGGATTGAAAAACGCCGAAGACATGACAATCACATGTAGGACAAAGACCATCCTCCTCGTTCCGTAGCAGAAGACAGCAGAAGCCTAAACACAAAAAGCTCAAGGATAAATTCCCGACTCAGGTGCTTTTGAGAATCATGTAACCTAAGCGGTAATGCGCAGCATTTTATTCCATCACACCTCACAGAGAGAGCCCAGCGAAAAATCCTGCTCCACCTTCAGCTCGAACAGATTTGGGGACAGATGTTGACAGTCATTTCCATTTCACAACATCTGTTAGTTTATTTTCTTGAGAATAAAATACCGTCTCGTTGTCTTCCAGTTGACTGAAATTCTGGACAGGCTTGATGTACCGACTCGGTCACCCGTTTTTTTACACTGTTAAATCTGGACTGCTCCAAACATTTGGTGATCTTCAATTTGTGTTCCTTTCAGAATAAAGCTCGGTTTGCTCCTATGCCCGTACTACATGGTAGACGAGCATCTGGTTCTTTAAAAAAAAAAAACGGCCAGCTATGCGTATGGGTTTCAGCTTCGGTCCAGAAAGAATGAGCGACATCTTGCACCAGGGTCAAGCCACATACAATTAGCAACTACTTCCGTTTGAACCTTTCAAAATAGAACGGACTTGCTCAGGACTACGAGACAAATTGAGTCGGGCTTTTAATTTGAAGAGCAAAAATCACGTACTGCCCAAGCTTTCTCTGTCACACTTGACGCAGCCAGCCTACAGGAATCCTGCCAGTGAGCGTGTGCGCGTGCATGTAGGGTCATTGTGAAGACAACATTTTCCTGAAATACTTAGGTTTTAACTTATTTGGGGAACACAGGCATGGACGTACCTCCTATCCTGATATACCACGTGTTCCATCCAAGACTGTTCCCCAGATACTCTGGACCGGTGAAAGGGTCGGCGCTTTGCATGGGGGTCGGGTTGTTTTGTCACTGTCAGATAACGCAGGCAGTAGGCAGGTTTAAAGTGTTATTTCTGAGCACATCATCGAGACGGAGTGGTAAGTAAAGCCGCAAAGTAGCTAATGGTCAGGTGATTGCAGTTGGACATTTAACGAATTGAACAACGCCACTAGTGGACAGGTAAAGAAACGCATACAGCACTGGCATCACCATGGTGGCATGTGTGCATCGCAAAATTGAGGCAGGGGCCCAACTGGTATGTCTGATTATGCATTGATCAGACCAAAAATATCTTAAAAGGAGGTCAAAGTTTGCAATGCTTATGCTACATTGCATTTTAAACCTAAAATAATCCTCCCCCTCACCCCCACCTATATATCTCGTTAGGGATAGAACAATATATTTGTTTGGGTTTGAATAGACTATTTTAGGCCGAAAGGCCAATCTCTCCCATGTGCTGATTTATCACACCACACTCTTATTGGCCCTCTGCTGGTTGTTAGTAGTAAAGCAGAGATTGTTGAGATTTTAGCAAAGTGCCGACGAAACTTGAAGTCTCCCAAAGTTCAGAGCCATAATCTAAATTTCCTAAATACTATCTCAATCTCAATCTTTATTTATTTATATAGCACATTTAAAACAACCTTCAGTTGACCAAAGTGCTGTACAGGCAATAAATATTAAATAACACAATGGGAGTACAATAATAAAACAATAATTAAAAACATGATAAAAAGCACAATAACAAAAATATTTAAAAAAACACATACAAATGTAAAAATGTAATGTTCAACTAGTATTAAAAGCCAGTGCAAAGAGGTGAGTTTTTAGCTGAGATTTAAAAAGTTCAATAGACTCAGCAGTCCAGATATGTACTGGGAGGCTGTTCCACAGTCTGGGAGCTGCACTATAAACCTTCATTTAGGCAATGTCTTTAGTTCAAGTAATCGGTTGAAATTGTTATATTGCACACAGCATACATCATGTGGTACATTCTTTGTAAGACTTTCTTACAGGCACACACAATTACAGTACTCATGAAGTGTGTTCTTCTTTGCATGCCATTCTTTCAATAGATGTAATGTATTTTTTGCCTGTGTTTGGTTTAATCTTCAAGACCCAGTGAGTAAGGGGAGTTGATACAGTATGAGGTGTTATGCTCTTGAATGCACACTAGAGAGCAGCACTGGATTACTATTAGAGCTGCATAAAGAACACTGATTTTAAAAGTAACAACCCTATATTTTGACGCAACTGAGTGCTCATTTTTAACTACTCTCTCTCTCATGCAGGATGCACCTGCAGTCTTTCTGTCCTTATTTAGTTTCATGTAAATTAAGAGGTTAAGTTCCAGTTCTCGGTAAAACTGCCAATAACTGAATAAACTTGCCCTCAACTGTGTTTTGTTTTCGGGCTTATCCTAAATATTGTATTTGTTTCCTCTTTTAATCGGCAAAAGGCTTTACAAGTTTTCAATTATATACTGTAAAGATTACTATTGCCAACTCCTACTAAGGCTAGAAAATAAAACGTTGACTGCGATGAATCACACCATTATGAACTGTAATAAGAAACTATTTTTCATAAAACGGCTGCAGGAAGTCTTTTCAGACCTTGACATGAAATTTGTTGGGATTGTCAAGGAAATAAACACTTTAAATAATCATTATAAACAAAGCTCCTCCTCCTGTCAGCCACTCTCAGTTTCAGTGTTCAAGTATTAAATGGCTCCTCCAGCTCCTCCTCTCCTCATCCTCCAAACCCTCTCCTCTGTCAGCAGTGAGCTCACTTTCTTAGTTCCAAGACCCTCCTCACACACTGACACCATGCTGGGGACCCTCTGCACTCTCATCACTGCTCTAACATGTAAGGAGGCTGACTGACTGCAGCTCTGACCTCATGTTGGATTCATCAGTCTGTGTGTTTCTCTTGACTCCATGTCCTCTTGTTGTTTCCAGGTGTGAGTGGTGTGACGGTGGTGACACAGAAGCCTGTAGTGACGGTGAGGAAAGGAGAGACAGCCTCCATGGACTGTAACCTGGGGACTGTTACTGATGAAAGTGCTCGCTGGTATAAACAGATTCCTGGAGGAGTTCCTCAGTTTGTACTGAAGTTTTATCACAGCAATAGCTCTCCAACCTATGGCTCTGGTTTCTCCGCTCCAAAGTTCACATCTACTCATCAGTTAAACACAGATTATCGTTTGATCATCAGCAATGTGGAGGAAGGAGACTCAGCAGTCTATTACTGTCACACATGGGATGACTCTGCTAAAGAGGAGGTATCACAGTGATTTACACCATGACAAAAACCTCCTCACGAGAACTTCTGCTTTTTCAGTCTCTGACACATCTGATAACAGAGCCTTCAAACAACTCAGTGTCTCACACCATGTGCAATAACCTGTTTACAAACATTTAAAGGATTTTACCAGATTCATTTTAACAATAATTTATAAATCTATCCATACCTTTAATAAATGCTATAATAATGAGAATATGAATAAATAAATATGCCATCCAGCATCATCCATAATACCTGAAAATAATTCAGGCTTTTAAAGCCACTTTATCTTGCCAAATAATATCTTATACTTATAGATAATGTATATAATCTGGGTTTAATACACAAGATACAGTAACAGTGACGGGACCTTGATGAGTCCTGTTTCCTGAGGCCCTGAAGAAACCTGACATACAATATTGAAAAAGTAACATCACTACATTCACATCAGGAAATCTAGATGCAGGCAATCAATAAACTCAATATATTTTAAATCAGTTTGTATAATTAGGGAATATGTTTTTTATAGGGATGAACATTGAAACATTTGAAGATACAATCTTTTTCCATTCTGTTACGTTCACAAATAAATATGAAAGTGAAGATAAATATGAATTTATACATTGATGGTGTCGTTGATAAGATTATTAGACGGTGAATTAAAATGTAGATTCAATCAGAAACTCCATCTGGTGGAAGTTAATAATACTCATGCAGAGGACAAAAAGAGGTCCAAACCCCATCTGCTTAAAACATAACAAATACATGTAAATTGCTCCTGTAATTATAAAGTGTAAATCACATCAAATACAACATTTAGTTTGTCAGTGAATGAAAGCAGTGCTGAGTGTAGAGACTCCTCCTCCTGCACTTCTCCTCTCTCAGTGTGTTTATAAGCTTCAGTCTCTCTTCTCCTCTCACTCTGCTCACCTCTCAGCTGGACAGTAAGGGACGTTTACAGCACACACTGACACCATGCTGGGGACCCTCTGCACTCTCATCACTGCTCTAACATGTAAGGAGGCTGACTGACTGCAGCTCTGACCTCATGTTGGATTCATCAGTCTGTGTGTTTCTCTTGACTCCATGTCCTCTTGTTGTTTCCAGGTGTGAGTGGTGTGACGGTGGTGACACAGAAGCCTGTAGTGACGGTGAGGAAAGGAGAGACAGCCTCCATGGACTGTAACCTGGGGACTGTTACTGTCAGTGCTGCTCGCTGGTATAAACAGATTCCTGGAGGAGTCCCTCAGTATGTACTGAGGTTTTATCACGAGAGTAGCGCTCCAGAGTATGGCTCTGGCTTCTCCTCTCCAAAGTTCACATCTACTCATCAGTCTACATCAGATTATCGTTTGATCATCAGCAATGTGGAGGAGGGAGACTCAGCAGTCTATTACTGTCACACATGGGATGACTCTGCTAAAGAGGAGGTATCACAGTGATTTACACCGTGACAAAAACCTCCTCAAAAGAACTTCTGCTTGTTCAGTCTCTGACACATCTGATAACAGAGCCTTCTAACAACTCAGTGTCCCACACAATGTGAAATAACCTGTTTAAAAACATTTAAAGGATTTTACTGGATTTATTTTTAAAATAATTTATAAATATATACATATTATAAATAAATGGTATAATAATGAAAACATGAATAAATAAATATGCCATCCAGCATCATCCATAATACCTGAAAATAATTCAGGCTTTTAAAGCCACAGTGACGGGACCTTGATGAGTCCTGTTTCCTGAGGCCCTGAAGAAACCTGACACACAATATTGAAAACATAAAAACATAAAAACATCACATTCACATCAGGAAATCTAGATGCAGACAATCAATAAACTAAATACATTTTCAATCAGTTTGTAAAATTAGGTAAGATGTTTGTTTGTAGGGATTAACATTGAAACATTTGAAGATACAATCTTTTTCCATTCTGTTACGTTCACAAATAAAGATGAAAGTGAAGATACATATGAATTTATACATTGATGGTGTCGTTGATAAGATTTTAAAACGATGAATTAAAATGTAGATTAAATCAGAAACTCCATTTGGTGGAAGTTAATAATACTCATGCAGAGGACATCAACAGAGGTCCAAACCCTGGCTCCTGTAATTATAAAAATGTTTCACATCAAAAACACAATGTAGTTTGTCTGTGAATGAAAGCAGTCCTCAAGTCCAGCAGAGGTTTGGAATATAATCAGCCTGATGAAGTGAAGGAGATGTTGACAGTGAAAGTTGCTCTCAGCAGGATGT